GCCCTGTTGCTGGTTTTAACACCCGCTAAGAGGGTAAGTATTTATCTGCCCTCTCTGTTGTTTCGTCATGCCTTAGAATTAGGCTGACGGGCAGCTCAGCTGATTTAAGACCAACCCAGCTTTTATGCCTAAAACATCACGAGCTCTTTTAAATCAAGAGTGATATCGTTGGAGGGTTTTTTTCCCTCCCACAGATCAGAAGGGGAAGCATCTGTTCATCTTCTCTGCCCGGTGCAGGCGTTGACGTGTTACGTAACGCGCACAGCTGCAATGCGTTCAAATTCAACAATTGTTTGTGCATTATAGAGATGCTTCTGCAGGTCGCCGTTATCCATCCAGCGCTTGTCACACTGGCTGTGTGAGGCCTTTTCTGAAGCCTACAGAGCATCAGATTTAGGGCCTCCTGTCAACCTCTAAGCACATTCGACCAGGGGTATCGCATCTTCGACTGCTCTGCATAATGGTATGTCAATGCAGGACATTTGCACTGCGGCTGCATGGTCAACACCCTGCTCATTTATTCGCTTTTACCTACGTGATGTAACGGCTCGTTCCATGACACATTCTGTCCTTAGTGCTCTAACAGAATGAATATTATTGTTCTCATGGAACTCTGTTTAAGCTCACTTCTGTCTGCATGCATTACAGTGTGAGATGTTGTTTTCAGTCACAGTCGTGTCTGTGATTTTGGTTCTATTGTCACTAATCAGTTCATGATTATTGTTAACAATCAGTTCATTTGATTATTGATCAATTCATGGACATTAATCTGTTTATACTGTTCAGCCATGAACCAGTTGGTTCATGCCCCCCTCCCCCCCTCTTTTCAACTTCCTCTTCCCGTTGAAAGTTTTTCCGGGGTATTCATGCTTTGTCAGAACGCATAGTTACACAACATGCGTCTGTGCATGGCACATAATTACGCGATGCGTAGTTTATGCACACGGGGAGCTGAGTGACAAGACGTTTTTTGGGCAAGCTTCCGCTTCTTACTGTGTTCGAATGGACCCAGTGAGGCGAGGACCACATCGGCTTCGCCCTTTACCCACTAAAGCGAAGGCCTTAAAGGGCGAAGCTTATACGACATAGAACGTTGGTTACGTACTGTAACCCCAGATTCTATGAGTATAAGCGTAGCCCTTTAAGCGTCGGGCCTCACTGGCTCCTAAATGGCTGAAGAAAAAGCTATTTTGGGAGCCGATTTCCCGCTCTTAACGTAATTTATACGGACCGGGTGGGGCCCACACAGCAGGTGGGCGTGGACTAATTTTTTCAGTGCTTATGCTCTGCATAACGGGATAAACCCACTAAAGCGAAGGCCTTAAAGGGCTACGCTTATACTCATAGAATCTGGGGTTACAGTACGTAACCAACGTTTTGATTAAGATTTTCGGGCAGCACGGTGGCGCAGTTGGTAGAACTGCAGCCTCTCAGCGAGCAGGTCCCTGGTTCAAATCCCAGTCCAGGGGCCCTTCTGGGTGGAGTTTGCATGTTCTCTCCGTACATGTGTGGGTTTTCTCCGAGTATTACAGCAGACCAAAAACATGCAAGTTAGACTGATTGGTAACTTTAAATTGTCTCTAGGTGTGAGTGAGAGAGTGAATGGTTGTTTGTCTTGTTTCTCTCTGTGTCTCTGTGATGGACTGGAGACCTGTCCAGGGTGTCCCCCGCCTCTATCAGCTGATGTTGCATGGCACTAGTTGGACACAGTGTAATGATGAAAAACCTGTTTTTATACAGAAGTGATGAGAGATAAATGATGCCTCTGAATTTTTTCAGTCTTCCATTGATTGCTTCTTTCTCTTGTCCATATCAGCCTCTCTGTCATCAGAAACCTGAAACATCCCTCACACTCATGTGTCTTTCTGCATGCATGTACAAGCACACACTTCATTTTTCAGGTGTAACCTTCAACACTTTGGTGTGGAGTTCAGACAGAGCTGGCTGGGCTTAGATGAGAGGAGGTTGAGGGATGACAGGATGCGATGGCTGACATCTCTCTTCCTGTGCTAAGACAAAAAAATGAACGCATTAGCTTAGCATTGCCAGATATCCTACACACTAAACACTCTACAACACACAATAATTTCTTGAGCAAATAATGCACCAAAATTAGTCTAAAACAGGCCATTGTTTAATCTTCATACATCCTGTTCATCTTTGAACTCACAGAGCCTTCGTTGTATTTTGGAGAACCTGAGTATGTCGTGGATGAGAGTTCAGGCTACGTTGAGGTAAAGGTCTGGAGGACAGGGACCGACTTGTCCAAAACAGCTACGGTCACTGCCCGCTCCAGGAAGAGTGATCCTGTTTCAGCAGAAGGTAAAAAAAAATTTAAAAATCAACTACTCAGTTTCTTTCCTTTGTTATAAAATACAGTTTTACTTTGTGGCTTCCTCTCTGTTTACCAGCCGGACTTGACTACGTTGGTATAAGTCACAACCTGGACTTCGCTCCTGGAGTTACGATGCAGACATTCAGGGTGACCATCTTGGATGACTTGGGACAACCAAAGTTGGAGGGGCTTGAGACCTTTGACCTTGTGCTGAGGATGCCCATGAACGCTGTGTTAGGAGAACCAAGCAGCGCGACCATCACCATCAATGATACCGTCACTGACTGTGAGTGTCCAATATTATTTTTATGATACTGCACTATAAAACAAACCAACAAACTGTTTTGTTTTTTTTCTCGACAATTGGTTATTTTTACAACTGCTGTGTGGTAGTGAGGTAGGACTGACATAGGATAGTTTAGAGTAATGTAAAAACTGCACAAACTTTGTAAAACTTTTTTTAAAAGTTTGTGTACCTATGACTCTTAAGACATTTTAAGAATTGTAGATTATTGACAGATGGATGGAGACAAGCTCTTAATGCACAAACATGCAACAAGCTATTCCCCTATTTTCACTTATTTCAACTTACAAAGTGAAAAAGCAATAAGCAAACAATTGGCATTATGCCATATCACATGTTAATATGTTAAACAAAGACTTTGTAAGTTTTGTTAGTGTCCAGAATATGACTGACATGACTCAGCTACTACCATTCTATCTGAATATTTGTAAAATTGACAGTTGTAGCTAGGCCTGTCGCAGTAAACAATAAATCAATTAATCGCATGATAAATGAAAATTATCAACCTCATTTTCATTTATCGGCTTTATCGTTTCTTTGTGTCTCTCTCTTTCTACACTGAATGACAAAAAGCTCAACTCCGGTGCTCTTCACTGATCCCTCCCTTTCTCTTTAAAATCTGTTTTAACCGTCCTAAGTCGCGTTTTTGGATCGTTAAAAGCAGCTAAGCTGAGAAGCTAAGCTACGAGCTAAGCTAAGAGGCGGACCTCGGGAAAAAACCTCTGTCTTGTTGAAGCTTCAAAATTCACGGTTGAAACCCGTGCTTTCATGTAAAAAGTTGTTTTTCTCTGTAAGAAGCTGAGAACTTGTTTACTGATTTTTTTATTCAAAGCTTTGTGTGAAAAATGCTATGCTAAAGGTGCTCAAACCACACCGAGCGTCCGCCATTTTGAGAACTGTAAAACAGGAACAAGAGACGCTCATGTCACGTCAAGGGACCTCCCTCCCATTTTTCTTAAAGAGACACGCTGCTCGCTCCCTCACTATCCATCCTTCGGTTCAAACAGTCTTATACTGCCATCCAGTGGTCAAAAAAGGTACTGCACAGAAAAATGTATTAAAATGTCTTCTTAAATTTGACAATAATAACTAATTATTGCAAAATTTCAAACAATATTATCATTTATCGCAATAATTTCTGACACAATTAATCGCCCAGCAATATTTGTTATCGTGACAGGCCTAGTTGTAGCCTTTTGTGTGTTTTCTAAGGTTTGGTGTGGCAGCTAATCAGATGCAGTGTCATCTTGAATTTGGTTTAGTTGAAAAGTTAATCAGTTGTAGATGTGCATCCAAAGCTTATTTTCTGAGAGCTCCATTAAAATCAAGTAGCTTAATCAATCTTGTGAAAACTTTCCTGTAACTCACTGTTTTTTGTTTGTTTTGGTTTGAAGTGCCAAAGGTCCAATTTAAGGAAGGTAGCTACAAAGTGGATGAGTCGAATGGAGATATTAGTGCCACGGTGTATCGCAGCGGCGACATCAGCCTCATATCTACAGTTCGCTGTTACACCCGACAGGGATCGGCTCAGGTCATGATGGACTACGTTGAGAGGCCAAACACTGACACCTCAGTAATTACTTTCCTGCCAGGTGAGACATCTTTCACCTTCCTCCATCTCTTTTATCAGTTTTATTATATAATCATCCCCATTTTACACCTCAGGTGAGTTTGAGAAAGAGTGTGTGGTCAGCCTAGTAGATGACTTGGTCCACGAGGAGGATGAAGAGTTCCGTTTGGTGCTGGGAAGTCCCAAGAGCAAGTTTACATATGGAGCCTCCATTGGGGAGCAGAAGGAAGCACTGATCACCATCACAGATGAGAAAGATAGTATGTACTCACTTAAATCAAATATAATTTAACTGCAGGGAAATTTAAACAAACCAACATAGATCAGAAATTCCAATAACCTGATTGAGAATTATCCAGAAGTAAACCTGTAATCATATATATAAGCAGATACACAACTCCACCCTGCTTCCTGTTTCAGAGCCCATCATTCGTTTTTCGGAGATCAAGTACAGTGTGCGTGAACCCCAGATAAAAGGTGATATGGCAATAGTAAAGATTCCAATTCTACGTTTCGGAGACACTTCCAAGGTGTCAGTAGTCAGAGTGCACACAAAGGATGGCTCTGCAACCTCCGGAGATGACTATAACCCACTGTCAGAGGGTAGGAAAAGCTGATTTGTGCTTGTTTTTAAACCTGTTCAGTTTGTCACAGCTTATTTTCCTGTCTGCGTCTCAGACGTGGAGTTCAAGGAGAACGACAAAGAACATTTTGTTGAGATCGAGATCCTGTACGATGGTCAGAGAGAAATGAGAGAGGCCTTCACTGTTCACATGAAGCCTGACGACAACATGGTGGCTGAAATACAGGTGAGTAAAAACCACATGGCACGAACAGACACATGCACTCCAAAACAAAACAGAAACCAGTGCAGATCTGCACACGTTAAGAGGCATGTCATGTCAGCCTAGGTTAAAATGGGCAGGCAGACAGCAGCTGGTAATCCTGTTCTTTAAAAAGCGTTTCCTTCTGAAATGAGATGCTGGGAGGACTATTCCTGTAGAGCCCAACTGAAGACAAACCTATAAACAGAACTGTAACATTCTTACACTATATCACACGCATGCCATTCATGACAGTAATGAGTCAGCTTGCACTAAATTGTTTTGTGCGTCATTACGTTGTAATTAAACTCGAGAGTCCTCTGCAAATTGGGTGAAATATATACAAAATTACATATAAAAGTTAAAAATTCATTAAACAAAATTGTTTTGGATAATCGTGTATGAGAAAACCAAGAGCTTCTCCTTTAAGAGAGCTCATTATGTAGGTTATGCTGGAGGAATCAAAGGAGTATGTCAGTGAGGCACGACTAAATGTGAGATTACATTGTAGGATAAATCCACCACACTGACTGGGGTTACCGTCAAAAATTTTCAGAAGGTCGGATATCTGGTTCTCAGCAGTTAATGATACTTACTGGTACCAGTGGAGCTGATTCTGGATGATGAGGAGGTGATGGAGTCTTGGTAGCGAGTGAAGTTTCTGTTTGATTGAGTAGATCATGCTGCAGAGTTCTTGAAAGTTGGTTTGAGAAGTTTATTGCTGGGAAAGATTGGGTTGCAGGGTATGATCATGGCAGTCCTTATGTTTATTTTGTAATTGTATGGCTTGATGAATCTTTTCCTCATCAGTCTTGCTTAGAGGGTCAAGTTGGCTGGAACATTCTAACATTATGTTTGGTTTATCCATCCATGCATCCATTATCTTTACTCGCTTCATTCTTTTTGGGTCACGGGGGTTGCTGGTGCTCATGTCCAACAATCACTGTGTGAGATGCGGGGGACACCCTGGACAGGTCTCCAGTCCATCACAGGGACACAAACGAGACAAACAACCCTTCACTCTCTCACTCACACCTAGAGACTATGTTTGGTTTAATGACCCCAAAATAGTAGACTGATAAGACACAGACTCCAAGGCAAAAGATGAAGATGTGATCCAGAAAGGTGAGTAACTCTGGAGAGAGTGACAGATTGAAAGTGCTCGGTGTTTGGTCCATGCTGATGTTTGGCATTTGGAGGAACAGGATGACAACAGGGCGAGGTCATGAGGAGCGAGGAGGATCAAGAGACAAAGGGGAGCAGGACTAAGGTATCATAAATCATTAATTCAACCTATATTTATACAGATTAGTCTCAATGAGCCTCAAGGACTCATTTACAAGAGAGACCTGTTATAAACAAAGAAAACCCCTCCTGAACGAGCATGGAGGCTGCACAGCTGCAGAAAGAAAAGCTTTGCAGAGAGTGGTGAAGGCTGCACAGAAGACTGTTGGAGTCAGCCTCCCCACCATCACAGACATCTACACCTCCAGATGCAGGAAGAGGGCCATCTGCATCATGAAGGACCCCACTCACCCAGCACACACACTTTTTGCCCCGCTTCCCTCAGGCAGAAGGTTGCAGAGCATTAAGTGTAGAACCACTATACTGAGGAACATCTTCTACCCTGAGGCTGTTACACTCATAAATCCCTAACCAGAAAAATCACTGTAATGCCACTTTAAGTGGTGATATGTCATTTTATATGTGCTGCTGCTTTCTTGCCTTTAAACTGCAATATTCATGCCCATCAGCTCTGAGCAGACGTGTTCAGGCTGCTGTTTAATACACTGTATTATATTATATTGTTATTGTTAACCATATATCTTAAAACTTTGTATACTGTTTCTTTTTTATACAAAGTAGTTTACATTTTTGCTATTTTGGGGGTGTAACTGGGACCCTGGGTACATAATTGTGTTCCACCTCATGTACCAAATGTGATTCAAATGACAATAATGAACCTTGAACCTTTAAATGAACTGGTGTCCCCTGTTTGAAACAATATCTTGGGGGATGCCGTGGAGGCTGAAAACATGGTAAATCATGATTTGGGCTGTTTCGAATGCAGATGGAAGTTTTACCAAGGGTATGAAGTGAGCAGCTTTTGGGAATCGATCAATGATTGTACAGATAACAGAGTTACGTTCAGACAGTGGAAGACCAGTGATGAAGTCATCAGTGATGTGGGCCCAAGGTCAACCAGGAAATGGTAGTGGTAGTAATAATCCATATGGGGGTTGATTATAGTTTGGTTTACTGGTAGGTGGGTGGGTTTGGTTTACATAGTTTACTGGTAGGTAGTAGAACTACTCACCAATATCATCTGGATTACTGGTGGGATGTCCTTTTTAAATAGAGCTGACATGATGAGATGAAGTGACCACTCTTACCACAGTAAATGTACATTGATGGGATGCTGCCTCTCTTCTGGGTATAGTTTTGTCCATCTAATCTACATTGGCTCGGGTTCAGAGGCTATTGCAGTGGGAGATAGAAATCTATTTCCGGAAGTGGGGTACTCATGGGATTTGTAGTTCTTCTCCATGAGTCGCTCCCTGACTCGGTTGTCAATTCGAATGGTGAGAATAATTATCTTGCTCAGTTGCAGCGGGACGTCTTTAATTTAGTCACTCAGCGTGTTGATGAATGCTCCCTTCAGAGATTTTTCTCCCCAACTGGACTCCTCTATGATAATCCAGAAGTGAATGGAGAATTCTGAGCATGGCATTTTACCTTGCCTTTCTGTGCTGCTTCCTGCTGTTGTAGGGGACAGTCAAAAACTCACAAAAAATCCATAAGAAAGGTAGAAAAAGTTAGAGAATCCACTGAACGGGGATGAAGATAAGAGTGCACCCATCTGAGAGCTTCTCCTTTAAGAGAGCTAATTATGTAGGTTATGCGGGAGAAATCCGAGGAGTATGTCAGTGGGGCACGACTACATGCGAGATTACGTTGCAGGATAAATCCATCACATTGACTGGAGTTACCGTCAAAAAATTCAGAAGGTCGGATGTCTGGTTTTCAGGAATTAATGCAATGAAGCTGATTCTGGATGACGAGGAAGTGATGAAGTCTTAGTTGTGGGTAATATAATTGAAAGTTTCTGTTGGACTGAGTAGATCATGCTGCCAAGTTCTTGAAGGTAGGATTGAGAAGTTTGTTTCTGGGAAAGATTTTGTTGCAGGGTACGATCATGGCAATCAATAAGTTTGTTTTGTGATTGGATAACTTGATGAATCTGTTCCTCATCAGTCTTGCTTAGAGGGTCAGGTTGGCTGGAACATTCTAACATGATGTTTGGTTTAATGAGCCCAAAATAGCAGATTGATAAGGCACAGACTCCAAGGTAAAAAGGTAAGTGTGTTTATTTGAATGTGCTTTGAAGAGCTTGTTGCTGTATGGAAAAAAGGGGAAAAGGTGAGTATGAGTGGTTCACAAGATAGTCTGTGATAGGAAACTGTTTTATTGATTATTGTCGTACATATCATTGTTTTCAGGTAGCATTGGAGAGGAGGAAGAAATGAGATCCTAGGATTCCAGAAGATGAAGACGTGATCTAGAAAGATGAGTAGCGTTGGAGAGAGTGACAGGTTGAAGGTGCTTGGTATTTGTTCCAGGCTGATGTTTGGCATTTGCAGGAACAGGATGACAAAAGGGTGAGGTCACGAGGAGCGAGGAGGATTTGGGAGACACAGAGGAGCAGGACCAAGGTATCATAATGTTCCAGCATCCGATAAATGATTGTCAGGGGTTCATCATAGAAGTCATCAGGATTAGGTACAGGTGTGGAGAAGTGGATGATTGAAAGGCAATCAGCTGTGGGGAAAGTGGCTGTGGCTGAAAAACTAGGAATCCTACAGAATAAACCCAAAATGACAACAAATTCTCAATGAAACAACCATAAATAGAAGCAACGAGAACACAAAGAAAAATCCAGAACTCTGGGCGTCTCTACACAGAGCCTCATTTTTGTAAAATGCTTCCACGTTTACTGATGACCATTTCTGTCAAATATTTCCCATTTCAGAATCAGAGTCTGATAACTATTAATTTTTATAAGCACTTCAGTTTCAGATTCCCAGTCCAAACTTTACAGTCAGTTTAACAAGAACAACAACATTGATTTGAACAATGACACTGACTCATCTGAACATTAGTCCTATTCTAAGCATGATTTGTTGGAGGAGTAACACTTTTCACAAGCAAGTACATCTCACAATGTCTTTTTACTTCTTGCCAGATGAACAAAGCCATTGTGTACATTGAGGAAATGGACAGTGTAGCAGACGTTACCTTCCCTGCAGTCCCCCAGGTGGTATCCCTGCTATTGTATGATGACACATCTAAAACCAGAGACAGGCCTTACCCACCCAATGGATACCCTGTGGTTTGTGTGACGGTGGGTATGATACTGCTTCCCTGAAAATCTTATCAAAAATGCATCATTAAACACTTGACACTTTATTAAACTCTGTGTGCTTTTGTGTGCCTTCTTTTCTAGGCCTGTAACCCAAAGTACCATGATTTTGATAAAACAGGATCCATCTGCTCTGCTGAGAATATCAACAATACTCTGACCCAGTACCGCTGGCTGGTTAGCGCTCCGACCGGACCAGATGGAGTGACAAGCCCCATAAGGGAGGTAGACACCAATACATTCTTCACCAACACCAAGTCAATCACCTTGGATTCAATCTACTTCCAAGCTGGTTCTAGGGTTCAGTGTGCAGTGAGAGCCTTCAATGCCAACGGAGATGCTGGCCTGGAGTTGTCCAGTCCCATTGTTGTGATTAGCAAAGAAGAAGGTGAGCACATATAGAGATGGAGAAAAACTCACTATCATTTGTGTTTCTGGTTTACTTCAGTTTAAACTCACTTTTGATCTTGACAGGTATGTGTCAGCCTCAAATCCCAGGTACAGTTGGGGCTGAACCGTTCTCTGCTAAGATCCGTTACACAGGTCCAGATGATTTGGACTTCCCTAACCTCATCAAACTGACCATTAACATGCCACACATGGATGGTAAAATCTCAAACTATGTTGCAGTTTTTCTTATATGGTGATTACTGTTCACATACCAGCTAAGCACTGTAAGAATCTTACCATCTACCCCCAACTAGGAATGCTACCCGTGATCTCCACCAAACCTCTGTCAAACTTCGAGCTCACTTTGAGCCCAGATGGCACACGTGTGGGCAACCACCGCTGCTCCAACCTGCTGGACTTCAATGAAATCCAAACTGGCTATGGCTTCATCACAGATTCAACGAAGAACCCTGAGATCATCGGGGAGACTTCACCGTACCAGTACAGCACTATTATGCGTTCAGCCAATTCCCTGCGTTTCTATAGGAACCTCAACTTGGAGGCCTGTCTCTGGGAGTTCACCAGCTACTACGACATGTCAGAGCTGCTGAATGACTGCGGAGGTTCTATAGGCACCAATGGACAGGTAGACAACATGTGTCACTACCCTTTATCACACATAAAAATTACAATATTAGCGTGTTGGTGTAATATCACAATTACATTGATGTAAAAAAAAAATCAACAGTGGAATGAGCATTTCAACACTGTTTCATGCTTGTCTTTTTGCCTCATCACAGCCAAATGTTAGTTTTGCAAATGTGGTATATAGTATTGGTTATTTAATTACTGGTTAATTTACTGGTGCAGATGGCTGAATGCAAATAATCAAAGACCAAGAAAGAAAAGAAAAATTAATCTAAAACTAGAGAAATTGCATTTCCTGTGAAAGTGCTGTGTGAATGCTTATTGCTGAAGAACTTGCTGAAAAACAGCTAAAATTAGTTTTAAATAAAACAAGCTGAATTGTAGCTGAAATGAAAGAACAAGCCTTAATTAGCAGAAGAAAGCAAAATGAACATATTTTTGTTGAATTAGACATAAATTAGCAGAAATTAACAAAAAATTAGGAAATTAGCTAAAAAAAAACAACCTCAAATTAGCAAAAAACAGCTGAAAAGTGGCTGAAATTACCAGAAGGAAGTGGAAACAGTTGAAATTAGGTTAAAAAAGTGGAATTTGCTGAGACGGCTAAAATGATCGTCATCTTCTTCTTCTTTCGGCTTTTCCCTCTTCAGGGGTCGCCACAGCGAGTCATCCTTCTCACTCTGTTCTCTGCATCCCCACTGTAGTACGACATATCCAAAGATATATTCATACATTAAACGAGTTCTTTCATTTTTCTGGACTGAATGATGTCGTGCATTGAATTTAACAAAAATGTGGACGTGAGACGTTATTTATCTTTGACCCATCAAAATGAATGTGGTCATTTATTTACAGAATCAAAGTTTAACATCAAACATTTACATTAATTTGGCAGAATATGAAAATAACAACATAATTAATCAGCTTTACAACCAGGAAAACCATACGGCCATGATTTTCCGTTGCTTCACCACAGACATTTCTGAAGACATCTGGATTAATTTGCTAGCAGATAGGAGAGTTTAAAGATGGAAAAATGAGATTTATCTACAGAGAGATGTGTGAGGGAATTTGTCTGTTTTAACCAGAACTGACACGCTCCTTCTTTTCCAGCTTGGGCCAACGGTACGCTTGGTCGAAATAGAACTTTTACCTTGCAGATGATAGCTTCAGCATCGGTGTAGAGCTCTCCTTTCAACTCTTTCAGCGTCTCTGTGAGGACAGCTCGAACCTCGAGAGTCGTGTGAGGTTATCTAAACAGAAGTTATAATTCCCAAAATCGTCTCTGGTTCAGCTTGATTCTAATTCAGCAGCATCCTGAATGCCCGCGTCCTGCATTCTGGAACTCCCAAACTCTCTGCATCTGAATTCCAAAAACTCTCTGCTTGAACTGCTGCTCCATCTTCAAGACTGAGCTTACAGCAGCTTCAAGACTGAGCTGAACTCTCTCCATTGAACTAGGAAGTGCCAACATTTTTATGGGCTCTACTTCCGGTTCATTTGAGAGCTTTTTGATTGGTCGATGGACCAAAGCAGAGGTGTGGTTTGTGATGTAAGGTGTTATTAAAAGTCAAGGAAAAGATTCAGATTGTTTAAGAACAGACAAAAAGATATCATGGAAAAACCAGACTTCGTGGAGTCTCTCACCAAGTATCTTGCTGTAAAAGTTAAACATGACATTTCTTTTCAGTAAACTTTCAGTTGACCGAAACTCGAACTTTGACACACTTACAAATTTGCTCACTTCAAAGCAGACGATCAAGAAATTGAATCATTACTCTGTAACGTACTCTAACTTGATTTCACTTTGAATTGAGGATTAAGAATCATTACTACTGTTTAAGTAAATAAAAATGATTAGTTCACTTCAACATGTAGACATTGTTTGAACCAAAACACTTTGATTATCAAAACATTTGTAAAATAGTAATGATCATAGAGAATTGTCTTTTTCCACTTGATTAATTCAAGAAAGAAAGTCTCAGGATGGGTTAACCTGTATTTCTGGATTCAAATCAATGAAATGACAGTTTCAGTCCCATATGGTCAGTTTTGACATCAAGCCTAGTCCACTACACCACAAAAAGGCTAAACTTATTATAAAACAGCTAAATAGTAGCTAAAATAGCAGAAAAAAAGCTGAAACTAGCATAAAACAGCTGAAAGGAGCATAGCATGCTCCATAATCCATAACAAGAGGTGGAAAGTAACAAAAATTACCACAAAAACTTGAATTTGTCTAAAAACAGCTGAACTTAGCTAAAAATCAATCAACCTTTATTTATACAGGTAAATCCCATTGAGCCTCGAGGACTCATTTACAAGAGAGACCTGATTTCAACAAAGAAAGATGACAACAATGGACAACAGCAACAACAATAAACAGTTATAAAAAAGCATACTACAGTTTTTTTTTGTTTGTTTGTTTTTTTTAACAAATAGGATGGCTAAAAGGAAAAGGTAACAAAACAAAAAACAGCTAGATTCCAAGACAATTGTAGAAAACTAACAACAGGAACATGTCAGCATTGGACCCTGCCAGGTGTCCAACAGATTCTTAAAGACACTTAGAGAGGTCAAGGTCGAGAGCTTCAGATCTTTTTGTAAGATATTCCAGGAAACAGGAGCGGAATAGGAGAAGGCCCTTTTGCCTAGTTCAGTCCTCATTGAGGGAACACTGCAGGTAATAATGTCCTGAGAGCGCACTCCGTAGCTGCACTCACGCAGAGACATGTAGGAGGAGATGTATGAAGGCAACAGACCAAGAAGTGATTTAAAGATGAAAATATACCAGTGAGAGAGTCTGCGTGAAGTTAATGATGTCCAGTTAACCAGAAAAAATGCAAAAAAATGCTAAAATGGTAGCTGAAAAGGTAGAACAACCTTAAATTAGCAGAAGAAAGCAGAAATAACATGTTCTATTTTGTATAAGCTTCACCCTTTAAGGCTGTCGCTGATGGTTTATCCCGTTATGCAAAACATTACACTGAAAAAATTTAGTCCACGCCCACCTGCTGTGTGGGCCCCACCCGGTCCGTATAAATTACGTAAAAAGCGGGTAATCGGCTCCCATTTTTCTTCAGCGAGCTAATAGCACTGTCAGAAGAACGAAGAAGGAAAGTTGTGTAGATGATCAACCTTTGCTAAGAATGCTTGGCCCGTTACGTCGACCTCCGGTCGTCCGGTGAGCTCTCCTCCCCGAGGAGAGGCTGACGAGCAGTCTTGTTTCAAGGTAAGCGCCGAGGAGTATTTCTCAGTGACAGGTCGCTACACGCTGGACAATGCCATCTTGTAATTTTCCTCTTATCGCCGACCCCCGGAGCGAATCGGATGGTTCCTCCGGGACAGGCAGC